CCCCCGGCCAAAAGGAAAACAGAGGGGAGCCCCCTTCTCTGCCAGCCTCTCGGAAGCCCCAGGAGGGCAGAGCCCCAGCCCCCCAAGGCTCCGGGGGATGAGGCTGGGAGGCCTTTCTGGCCGCCGGGCGACTTCACCCCAGGGAGGACTCCGTCGGTGGGGAAGATGCCAGGCGAAGGCCGCTGGGTTGGGCCTGGGGAGGGGCAGCCGCTCAGCCTTCAGCCAGAGAGGGAGGCGGCAGTGGCGGCCAACATACCTATGGTGCAAGCTACGAAGTAGACTCTGGACGACTGGACCTGGATGTCAAACCTGTGGCAATAGGCGACAAGCAGACCTGCGCAGGGAGAGGAGAGGAGAGGAGGGGTCGGCTCCCTTCCCACAGGAGCCCCCAGCGGAGCCCGCACAGAGGAGAGGCCGCTAGGGACATCGGGGTGCACTTCCCCCCCCCAACCCCCCAGACCCTGGTTCTAGGGCCAGCAAGGGCACCAAGCCCAAGAAGGGGGCAGCCGGGGGGGGGGGGGCAGCCGGCCACACAGGGCAGCCTCACCCAGAGCCCCCCTGGCCAAGCAGGGAGGGTGGGAGGGAGGGAGCGGGGGCTCGTGCTGCCCTGAGTTGGTGGAGTTGCGGGGATTGGGGTCTCCTACCTGGCACCAAGATGTCCCCAAACCCCAGGAGGGAGAAGGGCCTGTCGCAGAGGGCCAGTGGGGAGAAGTTGAGCCGGGGAACCTTCAGCACCATGGGGAGCTTTGGGAAGGGAAAAGGAAAAGGCACCGGTTCTACTGGGGAAGCAGCTCCACCCCCCCCTCCTGCCCCAAACGTTGCCCACCCAGCCCCTTGTGCTCAGTCCCCCTGCCCCTCCCACGGCCAACCGCTGCTTGCAATCGCCCTTCTGCAGGGTCTCTCCCCACCCCCCAACCCCCGGGCGTTCAGCGCTTGGGCCTGGCGTGCCAGGGGCTTCGCGAGCGAGCGTGAAAGTGGTGGCAGCCCAGGGGAGAGGAGGCAAGCCTGGCCGAGGGAGCCGAGGGCATCGGATGCATGAAAAGCTCCTGGCAGACGGAGGCTGTGGATCAACTCTCCCGCGATGCCCTTGGCGGTTCCCACCTCACCGAGTCCACACAAAACGGCCCCCTCCGGAGAAGCCTCCTCCCACTGCTCCCAAGCGCCTCCCTCCCGGAGGATCCTCCGTGAGCGGAATCCGGCCTCCCCACCCAGGGAGCTTCCCAGGAAGGAGAGCCCGGCCCCTTCGCAGAGGGGGCTCCAGGGCAGGACACACAATGCTGTGTGTTTGTGTGTGTGTCTGTGTGTGTCTGTGTGTGCTGCATTCGGAGCAGGGCGGGGGGCTCCCAAGGGCCTTTTGGACTGGCAAACCCAGCAAGACCCCCGTCCTCCCAAAGCCGCATCCAACCCCCTCTTTCCTGGCACCAACTGTGGCTTCGGCATTCTTAGGGAAGCCCAGACGGCCTCCCCCACCCCCCATATCCCGGACCCTTCCCCCCCCCTTCCCGTTTTCAGCAAGGATTCCTCCCCACCTGCCCTGAGGCAGCAGCCCCTACTCGCCTTTTCACGAGTGGAGGAGTCCGTGGGTCCAGCAGCCACTTGCACCATGATGCTCTCCCCTGTCTGGAGGGGCCGGGAAGGAGGACAAAGTCAGCCGGGTGGGCCCCAAAGCTTCCCGACGGCCTAGAGAGCGGCCCAACCCACTGAACCCAGCCCCGTGTCCCCCTTCCCCCCCTCCCTTGGGGGGCTGAGCTCCTCAACCGCTAAGCCAGCGGAAGAGCCGAGGGGTGGCCGAAGGGCAGGGACCCCCTGGCGGTCCTCTCAACCGGCTGCCCTTCCGATGTGTCTCGGGTTCCCCATCCTGGTTAGTTCTGGCTTGCATGGATGCATCTGGCAAGGGGTGGCGGGACAATGGAGTCCAGGCAGCCGGAGGGCACCAGCCACGCCTGCTTTGGCTCCTCCCTTCTCCTGGCCGCCCCTCAGCCCTCTGCCCCCCCCTCCTCCTCCCCCTCCCCAGTCCAGGAAGCCTTCCGGGGCTGCCCAGCAGGCCAGGCGTGTGAAAGGGGGGCTTTTAATCCAACCCTTCTCCTTCCCCGACTGCCCCAGGCACGGCGGCTCCTCAAAGGGCTTGGGGGGGAGGGGCAGCAGTGCACCCACCTTGGTCAGGTACGGAGTGATGAAGACGAAGAAGACGTCGTACACGAAGAGGACCAGGAGGAGCAAAGTGCAGCCCTGGGGACGGAAAGGGTCAAAACAAGGCCTCCTTTGAAGGGGATGGGGGGTAGGGCTGGGGAGATCCTGCTCCAGCCCCCCTGGGAAGCTCTGCAGGGAGCAGCTGGCTCGGTCAATTCCGCTCTTCTGTATCAAGCAGCAGCCGGAACATCTGGTTTGCAAGCACCGCTCTCTTGCTCCGGAGCAGCAGAGAGGCGCCCCACAAGCCTTGGGGTCCCCCCCTGTGCCTGCTGCCTGCCCGGCTCTGCTTCATCTCCCGTAGCCAACCGGTAACCATTATGGAGCTGCCCCCTCCTGAGGGGGAGGGGAGTCCCTGGAAACCCCCAGCGGTCCTTGGCAAGTCTGCTGCCCTGCCCTGCCCCAGCCAGGACGTCCGGAGCTGTCAAGCTGTGTCCTTCCTGGGGTCTGGTGCCCCCATGTTGCTGCCGGGAGGGAAGGGAGGAGGAGCCAGAGGTTCTCAGCAGCCTCTGGGGAGGGCAGAAGGCGGGCGGGGGGGGGGCGTCATGGCTGCCTCACCTTGAACGTTGGCAGTCGGATGGTCTTCAGCATGTAGAGGCAGAAGGCGATGCCCAGAGCGTCTTGGAGGATCCAGGCCCACCTGGGAGGGGGGGAGGAGGGGAAAGACCCACCACACGTGGCTGACCTTTCCTGCCCTGCGGAGGCCTTGCGCCACACCTCCAAGCCCCAGTCCCTCCCCGGGCCACCCACCACGCAGGGGACCCACTCCGCAAGGGGCACCACAGGGCTCTCTGGGTCTGACCCAACCAGAGTCTTCGTGGGGGTTGCCGATCCCCGGCGGCACCGGAGCCTCTGCGCTTTTGCCTCCTGCCAAAGGGGCCGAGCACAGAAGTCGTGCGGCAGAGAGGGAGGGAGGCTGGCTCTCACCCAAAGCATGCTGGGAAGGAGTCCCGGGGGGGGGGAGGGGAGCTTACTGGTCTTCATTCCGGAAGAGACCCCAGACCAGGCTGACAGCAACGCAGAAGGCAGCAAGGAGCAGCATCCGGACTTGGGGCCGTTTGTGGAAATAAGGCCAGTTGTTACTGGGAACGCTGGAAGGCAGGCAGAGGGAGGGCATGGGCATCGCCCGGCAGCAGCAGTGGGCACAGAGGAGGGGGCGGAAGCCGGCTGTGCGGCAGGAGCGTGTTAGTGCATGGAACGCTCTCCAAGCACTTCCAAAGGGGTGGGTGGGCTTCCTGCAACCCCCTCCCCCCGGCACCTTCCTTCAGATCGAATCCCGCCCGCCTCCCGGTCTGGGGCAGCTGGAGGTGGGTTAGGAAAAGGCTCCCGGGGGGGGGGGGGGGGAGGCTCCACGCCACTGGGGAAGAGGCGGCAGCTACAAACCACGCCGTCCTTGTCTGGACGGGGCCCACAGCCAAGCCACGAGGGTCCCACACTGTCAGCTGAAAGGCCAGAGCCCAGGGAGGGTCCCTGCAGGAGCTGGGCCGAAGCCCCCTCCCCACCCTTCCCCACCAGCCATCCACCTACCGGCACTTCCCGAGGGGGAACCTCCGGACGAAGGGGGAAAGGCAGCTGTAGAGGCCGATGGAAGCGGCCAGGCAGAAGATCCCAATGATGGCGTAGACTGGAGGGGAGAGGAAGAGGGGGGGGAAGCCTTTGGAGGAGGAGGAGGAGGCGGCCCCGGGAGCCTGACCAAGCCAGGGGTCAGAGGGGCCCCGGCATTTATAGCAGGGTGGGAGCCCAGCTGTCCTGCTTCCCACCCCCAACGCCCAGCCCTACACCTCCCCCCCTCCCCTGGGTGAAGCCAACGCTCCGGTCCGCTCAAGCAGGAGAGCCTGGCGGTGGGTGGGCCTTGGTTCTGCCCCCGGCTGAAGGGGCCCAGGGCTGCTCTACCGGGTGGGAGCCAAAGGCCCCGTGTCTGGAGGGAGCCACGTCAGCCGAGGAAGCAGGGCTGGCCTGACAGGTGGGGAGGGAGGCGGACAGGCTGGGGACACTTTGGCCAGAGGGAGGTTGGCTTATTTCCAGGAAGCTGAACCAGAGGAGCAGGAGGGGCCCTGGCCACTTCCTGGAAGCACCTGCAGCTCCCCAGGGATTCCCCTTGCCAGGCACTCATGGGGGGGGGGAGGACAGATGGACGCCCCCACCCACCCACCCCCCACACGCACGCACTGCAGGTGCTTAGGCTCCCAGGAACGCCTGGCCCCTTGAGAGGCTTCCGGTCTGGATGCAGGAAACGGGCCTCAACCCCAGCAGCCGCTTTTGGCAGGGCAGGGAAGTACCCGGAGGGCCACTGCCGGCCACGGTGCCCGTGGAACTCCACCAGGGGACGCCCTCGCGGGGGCTGAACCAGGCCTGGTCCCAGCAGCAGCAGACAAAGCCCGGGCTGCCCAAGCCAGGCGGCCTCCCTCCCTCCCTTTTAGCCCCTGAAGGGGACCTGAAGGGGTGGGGGGGGGGTCCTGGCCAAAGTATCCCAGCCTCCCCCCCAGCCCAGGTGAACCCAGAGAGACCCCGGGGGCCAAAGGACGCGGAGACCGGACCCGCCTCCCAGTCGGTACCTAGTTGGTCATAGAAGTAATACAGGAGGATCAGCATGGAGCAACACATGAGCACAAAGACGCCGATCATGACCGGAGTGACGTCCACCGTCTCGTCTTCTTGCTTCTCAGCCCCGTCGTCCCGCTTGTGTTTCATGTAGCGTCTGGAAAAGAGAGGGGTCCTCAGAGGAGGCTGTCCCCCCCTCTTCCTCCCCCTGCGCCCAGGAAGGCTGGGGGTTCCGGCCGGCCTCTTCCTCCTCCCGCTAGCCCCGCTACTACGGGCATGAGGCCATTCAGCTGCCGCCCTGCCTTCGGGACAGTCCCGGCTCTTCCCTTGGTGGCTGCGGCAGGACGGCTTTGTTGCTGCGTTTGGTCAACCCCCGGTAGTGGCTGGACGGGCAGCGGCCCCCTCCCTTTGATCCAGACAGTCGGGCTGGACGGGACCCCCACAGGGCCGAAATGCATGGAGTTTCTGAAGTCACTGACCGCTTCCTTTCCCGCAGCTGAGCTGGCGAACTGCGCCTCAGAAATCCTGCTGGCTTAACACCCCTCTCCCCGTTCAGAAACAACACCCCCCCCCACCTCCCCCGGATGAGGGACAGGAGGGGACACACACACATACACACAGACGCTTCTTTCTGTCCTGCTTAGGGCCCCCGCAGGCCGTTAGAGGTGCGAGCGAGCGAGAGCAGCGGGGAGACCGTGAGGCAGAGCAGCTAATATCCCAAGAGAGGCCGTTAGAAGGGGCAGGAGACCGAGGCGCCCCCCCCACCCCCACCCCCTCCCATCCTTCAGGGCCGCCTCTGCACTTACTTTTTCACATCTCTGCTCCCGGCCCAGTATCCACCCACGGCCACCGTGCCCACCGCCATGACAAAGATGATCACCATGTTATAGTCCAGGACGGGCTCGCCGGGGGCGTACATGGCTACCTTGGCCGAAGGACCAAAGCTCTACAGGGCAGGGAGGGAGGGAAGGAGAAAGGAAGAGTAAACGAGTGCAACGCAGAGCCAGTGTTGTTCTCCTCCCTGGGAATCAACCTGAGAGAGCTCGGAGGACTCCCCATCCAGCCCCTTTCCCAGGGCAGGGATCTCCTGGCCACCCCAGGCCAATGGCTGTCCGGTCTGCCAGGGTAACCTCCAGTGATGGAGGAGAGAGGCTGCTCCTTCCGTGGCTTCAGAGCTCAAAGGAAACATGCCTCTTTAGCTCAAGTTAGGATCTCAAAAGTCCGCCTTGGGGCCGGGGGAGAAATAGCGCCCTCCTCCCCCTCCCGGGACTGGAAGGCTGCTGTCCCTCCCCAGCCGCCTCTTCCTCAACAGACCCAGTTCCTTTATCCCCTCTGGGTAGGACTGGTAGCCTCCAAGCCTTCACCACCTTTTTTTTATTTCATTCTATTTTATTTTTCATTAAACTGGTTTGTCACCCATCTCACCTCAAACGACTCCGGGGGCCTTACAACATTCAAAGCATGCATACTGTGGGCGCAATTATTAGGCAAGTGAGTATTTTGACCATATCATCATTTTAATGCATGCTTTCCATCTCCAAGCTGTATAAACTGGGAAGTGCAAGGGTATCAAACTCACAACAACATGTTGTCGTCATGTGGCATATGGCAACTTCCCCCCCCCCCCTTTTCTACAGCGGGGGTGGGTGGCCAGCATGTGTGACGCATCCGGCCCGTGGGCTGCACGCTTGATCTCGGGCTTAGTGGGTGTAAGCAGGTCAGGTGATGCGTATTTGTGTGACGAGGGAGGGTGTCACGGCCCAAGGAGCTCAGCGGCCGGTATCAAGGTGTGCATAGTTATTAGGCGGCTTCTTTTCCTCAGGCAAAATGGGCCAAAAAAGAGATTTCACGGACTCTGAAAAGCCAAAAATTGTAAAAAGTCTTTCAGAGGATCCATTTGCCTGAG